TCTGAGGGCAAGGAATATTTGCGTAATAGAATACTTAATACATTGAAATGTGAAACTGTACTTATTATCCCTTAACATTACTTTGTACTGGTTAAAATATCCCTGTATATCAGAAGTAGTGCTGGAGCAAATACATATTGTGTCATTACATCCATATCTTCATGTAAACCTGCTTTACCACTTAAACTGACACTAAACGTCACAAAAAAAATCTTCCAAAAATAATTTTGAAAGACTATAATACAGAACATACTGAAAGTAAAACACAGCTATGCAAGATTTCCTTAAACATGTGAAAATACATACTACACCTATGTTCAAATTTGGATACTCAAATAATTTCAAATCTCTTCAAAAAGCCTAAATCATAAACATACAACAAAACCGAGTGTAACTAGTGAACAAACAAATCCTTGCCCTTCATGTCTCTTTCTCACCCTCTTCAATTTGTGCCAGAACGGATTACTATACCTTATGAGATTTTGCCACCTTCTGATAACAAGACTCTAGTTCAAGTTTGAGAGAGCTATTCTCTTGAATTAGAATCTCTACCATCTCCGCTGGAGGCCATATTTCACGTCCTTGAGATTCCATATCTTCTCGTCCATTAGTTTTAGGTCTGAAAAACAAAAGTTTATTGGCTAATTACAAATTAAAAATCGTCACAAAAAAATTAGCAACACATAAATATTTGATAAAACTTTTGATAAACTTTATTTTTATTGCATTAATATGACTGGCAATGTTTGTTTTTATATTTATTCAATTTTGTAACTTAATTTATTCATTTCATATCATAGGTTATTTAAAACGAACATGTATTGAAATGCAAAATAGTTTGTTTACTTTTTTTCACATATTTATATAAATAATCAATATTAGCAGTTATAAATATCAGAGTATTTTGCAGATGCATTTTACAAATAATTTACCCACACAATTTCAATCCTTTATCTCCTAGAATTAGAAATTGTTAATTCAGAAATTGATGAAATACATAACATAATGTACCTTGGACTGATCACAACTCTGCCATCAGCATTAACTTTGTTGTTCCCGATTCGAGATAAATCTGGATGAGAACGAGACAGACTGAGCTTATCAGAAAGGCTATTTGCTTGAGAAGACATTTTAATTTTCTGCACAGATGATGGAGATTCTATCCACTTAGGGTATTCAGGAGGAGGAGGTAAATTTGATAGATCGTAATCCAGAGGTAGCAAAGGCTCATGGTCTCGAGCGCTTAAACGAGCAGCATCTTTGGCAGCACCTAGCCCAATTCTGGGCAATGACAATCTCTTTAGTTGCTCAGCCAGAAGAGGATCATCACGAACATCACTACTTGTCTCATCGAGTCTAGGTACAGATGATTCTCTACTACTACTAACTCCAGAGTTCAAAGGTACAACTTTAACTTCTTTCGCCAAGTGTTTCAACACCTGTAAGAGATTTCACACACATTGTATTAAATGTCCCTAATTTTTATAAGTATTAGTGAAATGTGAAAAAAACATGCACAAGTCACAGCATGAAGTATTTCACTCCTCTCATGGGAGAATCATGTATATGAAATGCACACAACTCAATTTAAAGTTTTTCTGATAATACAATTTCTGATAAATTCAAGAGGTTTTCAAACTTTGAGTTCCAGTTTCTTAAATGTTAGACTAACTCTTAACATTTTTTTCTTTCTTACCAACTCTTATCTTACTGTATATTATCTCAAATGAAAATCAAGAACTGGATCTACCAATGGAGAGTACTTACTTTTTTAAAGAGCCAAGAATATATTCAAAATAATTTAAAAATAAGATAGTTTGGACTACAGTTTGGATATTTTCAATCCATTAATGTTTTTATTATTTATTTACTACAAACTAAAAGTTTTTTAGTGTTTTCTGATCAAAGCATGATTTTTATAAGACTGTAAAACAAGGCAACTTTGGGCATTTTAAAAATTCCCATGTAAATTACAACATAAAAATCAATGAGAAATTTCTCTTTTAAATATCTAATTACATTACACACAGCATGTTTAGAGCCTATTTTGAAATATAATTTAATGTATCACTTAAAAAACAAAAAATGTATGCTCCTAAATGCAGCTTAAAATGGTGTAACATTGGACACTGGATAGTCAAGCTACTTGACATTAACTTTCAGTCTATGCGAAGTGGTTCGGCTAATGTCGGCCCAGGAAATGTGAATTTTAGGCACAGTAAATTCAATGAAACATATCACATTATTTTTTATTAAATAAATAAATTTTTAAAAAAAATCATCATTTTATATAATCTTGCATTGTACAGTAATCAATTATTATTTATTTGATTTCAAAACAATCTGTGGAAATGAATATCTTACACAGCAATTAAGAATGCTATCTGTGACAATAATTGAGGAGGTTGGATAACGACTCAAATTAATTTTGTAAGGAAAATGATCTGATTCAGGGGTTTCTTACCCCTAGACATTTGAAGATTAAAATAAAAATGAAGGTAAGAATTGTCAACTCCACATTATGGATAGTTTCCAACATTCTTCTAGTGTTTAAGAAAGTGAATCACCTTTGGCAAGCATCAATCATCCCCACCCTGTCTGGAGCCTATATCACATATGCTTATTCAACTTAAGAACTAGAGACAATATTTTAAAATTATTATATTTTATCCTTTTGTTGCAAATATTACTTCAGATAAAATTTATTTATTTATTTAGTCACAAAACAGTAAAAACTGTATGTGACATGTGGGGGAGAAGATCATCTGCGCACATTTTCTTGAATTCCAGAATCCCTCCCCAACATATTAAATATACTTAGTTGAAAGATGAATAACAGTTTAAAAAAAACAACAAACAAACAAAATACAAAAAAGTGCAAGATTACAAACATTTGAAAACTTGACATTTTTGTTCCCAAGTTGTAGAAAACTTATTTGCAATGGTAAATGAACTGCAGATTTAATTTATCTGCACTGCTAACAAAATAGTAACTCACGCTCAGCTCTACTCCTACCATTACAAGCAAAAGGAGAGTTTAACAAAATGTGTGCACAGTGAAGCTACATTTACATCCAGAAGTCAAACAAGCAGCCATTTCAGTTTTTGCTCACTGAATCGGGGACACTAATCAAAAGCCTGATCATGATGGGGGTCACTATTACACGTAACATTTAATTTTTTTTTTTTTCCATGTTATTGGCAGTAATTGATAAATGTCACAAAAATTAGTATTGGGTGTATGTTTACTTTGATTTACAAACAGCCCCAAATCAAGTCAAAGTAAATTTTATTTTCAAAACCAGGGAGGGCCTGAATTATATTTTCATTTCAATTAGAGACCTTTATTTTGTTTGCAGCTAATACAAGGAAAGTACAAATAATAATTTAGGTTCATTATGATTAAAAGCTCTCAAGAAATAGTTGAATAGTTATGAAGAGAGATTGCTTTTCAAGGACAACAGATATAAAGAAATAAAATTAATGTGCCAGAGTTTACCTGTGACTGACTAAGATAATCATCTGGTATATCAGTAATCTCTCGAACACTTGGGTCAAATAATCGATTGGGAGAACTTGATGATGGTTCTTTGCCACTTCCAGCAGATGGTAATGGAGAATGGGAACCCATTTTTGTCCCTTGTCCTGCTTTATTACCGTCTGCAAGGTTGTTTGCAGAAATTGTATTGGTGGAAGTTGGAGAACTGCTATATGGTTGGGAAGTCAAGTAGCTGTTTGCATTTGTATCTTGTACATCACGAATGCCAGACAACCTACAATGATGAATTATTTCAGAACAACATTCAAGAGAATTTTGAAGAAAAACAATTTCAATATTTCACAAGTGACAATACCTTCCCGTCCATGTGTCATCACCAGCACCATGAATAATAAGAGTGTTATAGGATGAAGAAGAAACATCAAGGCTACTTCTATTTGAGCTTAAATTTTCTTGTCCCTGAGGCTCTTGTCGAGCTGTGTGTTTAATTACATATCGTTCTTCGTGGCTGAGATTCTCGTTTGATGTTGACACATCAGTTTCACTGCCGCTCAAGCTCTGTGGAAAACCACCTGCAGGAAAATGATCACGATGATTAGCACTTGCATTTAATATGTGGTTCCATTTACTCATCTAACAATTTTTTCAAAAGACCATTTAAAACATACACTTACTTTGAGCTGGCAACAGCTGAGTTCGTTGGGCACTATTTGTAAACGGGATAAATCGACTTGTTTGCTGCAAGGAGCTCATTGTCAAGCAAAATGACAAATATTCCAGAATTCAGCAAACAGTCAAGGCATTATTTTCCCTCATTGCAATTTCAAATCACCAAATAAAATTTGAAATTGTTCGCTTAACTTTGATCCGCATCTGGCATAAAAATTGTGAATCAGAAAAACAAAAACAGTGGGAATGCAATTTACAAGTGTCAAAGTGAGGGCTCATAAATAATATTTCTTACTGAATATTTTTAAGTCATTCGTAACTATACATTACACATTTTCACTCCAATATTTTGCACTAATCAGTATTCTAAATATTTATACGATAAATAGTAGTCAAACACGAGCTTTAAGGACAAATACCATACCAAAATACACAACAATATTACTTACAAAAACACGCAAAATTCTCGATTTTCATATACACTGCACGATATTCGAAAGATAATTTCTTCGTCGTCACAAAACAAATCACAAGAGATTAAAAATTGCTAGTAAACCTCAGGGAAAGAATAAAAAGTTCGGAAAACGAAAATTTCTATCGTCGCACTGAGCCAAAACCATCACCACCCCACACCTCCCACATTCCATTCCATCCACTGTGATGCATTGCGATTCTCGGGCTCGTGAGAGCGGTCGTGTTTCCTGAGAAAAAACAAGTATTTCATGGCGGGTTGTTTAAGTATTACCAAAGAGCAAATACAATTTCCCGAACTGTCAGAGTATCGACAAAACCTATTCCAAAATGAGAATAATTACAAATAATTATACTCTTCAGAAGCCAACATCAAATCAATAAAGATCTTGTGTGATTAAAATCCTTAAAACAAGAAATCCAAATTTATGAACGTTTGTACATACTCTGAGACAAGAAATCGACACATTACATCCGATATCAACTGTAGAGAAATGGTGTATCGCTTATTCACAGTAACAAGAACGTTACAAAATAACCAATGGTGCTTCGCTTCTTAAACCACGCGTGCTTATTAAGATAAAAGAAGAAAAGTGATTTGAAAATGTATGAGATTTTTCTGAGCAAATTCATTGGGGGAGGAGAATAGGACATTGTGTAGAAGAATGTACAGTAGAATACATGGGTAAAATCATAGACAAGGTAGACAAATGAACTGTAGTAAACAAGTGAAAGTGATTAGTGCGTTTATCTGAAAAAATTATCTCGTAGTACTTGGTAGGTATGCGAAGTTCTTACTACATAATTCGTGAATATTCAGTGAGTGGCAACTTATTAAATAAGTTATAAATGGAAGTGATTTACTTCGTTTATTTTGGTTGTATATTTTCTTGAACGTATGCCTGATCATCATCCTGTGACTTGATGCAATTATAAGAAAGTGAAATCATGGAATGTCTGGCAATATATAATGAAGTTATCAGTAAATTGTAATGAAAAGAAACGAACCAAGAGGGGTGCGTTATGATTTCTTCATAAATATATCAACTTGGAGGTAAAATTAAGATGTTATCAGTGAGTAGAATACTGCTATGATTGTCTTCACAAAAATTGTTTTAAATTAAAAGCAGAAACCGTGCATCATAGTGTCCTGTTTAAATTGCAGGAACAAACTTACTCTATAACCCATCACCTGTTAAAATGTTGTTGAGCACTATTTACTGTAAGTTCATGATTGTGTTTAATATTTTGAACCTGACTTTTAAAAAATAACCAAGATGAAATGATCATCAAGGTGTCTATCATACTTAGAGGATTATACAGAGTGTTTTTCAACTATACAAAACAAAATATCTGATTGTCACGTTCTTAATCATAACTATTGTGTTTTAATGTTACATGATTTTTGACATTATTTTGAATGATAAGTTATATGAATGTATCGCAAACTATAGAATTACATATTTACTTCTTGTAGCAGTTATCTTATTTCTGTTTCAGATGCTTTGCTCACAAAAACTAACCTACCAGCGGGGTTTGCATCGTCTTTTTAGATTTTCTGTAGCACTTTATTCAAAACGTAGCGATTCTGAACTTGCTGATCCTTACAAAGTTGTGAAGGCAAAAAAATCTGTGAACAGTAGGTGTAAATAAATACTTTTCTATGCTGTTAGACTCGGTTAATAATGTGGTCATTTTGAAATGTGGGTTTTGTGTTGTTTTTGTAATTTTTTAAAATTTATTTTTAGATGGAGAAGACAATCTTCTCAGCATACCACCAAATTGGGAGTTACTTACACCATATGGGTATCGGTTCTTCCTTCCGGGAAGTGTTGGCCCAGCATGGTACGATGCTACCTCAATTGCTCAATTAGGAACCATTTCGTTTCCTTTAGGGGAAGATTCCGATGAAAAGGTAATACTTTTTTCACACAAAGTAATCTTTCCCTTCATGGATAAATATGATAGCATTGGCATTATGTAATTACAAAAATAAAGATAAGTATATTTTTAACTCTGGCACTATTTGGTGGGTTGAATTTCAAGTTGACTGGAGTATTAGGACAAATTGGAATATTATAGGATTACATGACTGCTGATGAAGTAAGAAAGTACATGCTGTTATCACCACTAAATTTCCAATTCATTCATTCAATAATTTTAATTTTGATGTGCCGGATAACGTGAGCAAGGATAATGAGGATTCCGTTGTGGTTATATTCTGCACATTGTAAATTTGAAACTTCTATTAAAATTTATATGCTTTTATTAAAATAATCTCTCTCATATCAAAACTCATTCTTGAAAATTATAAAGTAAACATTTAAAAAAATACTAATTAAAAATTGAAATAAGATAATACATCAATACTGACCAATTGTAATTGACAGCTAGGTCTTCATTCAGCAGACTCCGAAGAATGAGCATGTGAAGGAAGAATCAGTACATGTAATAAGTAAAACTTGCACAATGGGACCAGTATTCCCCCTATTAGACATGATTCTGCATTATACAATATAATACAGAAGAACTTATGATTGGCAGGACCTCAATTAATGTTCACATTTGACAGATTTCTGCATTGAGCAGGTTTCACTGTATTTGTGAAAGAAACATGGCGTGCCAATGTATATAATAACTTTAATTAGAGCAAATCATGGTAATTAAGTCGGCACACTAATCAATATCCTCTTTGAATGTACATACAAAATCATTCACATTTGTCAGCCTAGGCTTGTTATAAATCTATCATTAAATGTACTATTTTAAAAAGAATGATAGGTGTTTTGTGCATACCTAAGTACCAACAATAAGATTTAAGTGTGTATGCATGGGCAACTAATTATATTTCACAATATCTTCAAGAACAAGATCATTGTATCAAGATTCATGTTTTTCTAACATAAATATTAAATCTTTTTTAATAAACATACATTATCAGCACCTTTTGGTGGTAAAGGTACAAGTATTCTAAGTACTTCAGAAGCTGCTGTTGACATTTTTTTTAACTCTAATTGTAATCCTTTTCTATCTGAGAGCCAAATCACTGAGGCACGTTTCCATGTTGAACTTATTAAAGTAAAAAATACACACAAAACCTTAATTGACCTTACTTTTACTTTCTTGTATACATATGTAGTGCCTAAATTAAGCATAGGATTTTTTCGAACTGAGTAAAACACCTGATGATATGGCCTCACTTGAAGCTCTGCGATTTTGAAAAACATTGATTAATTCATTAACATTCATCAATTAGATGGTGAAAGGAGCATAGTGAAATTTGCATGGTCAGACAGAAGACAGGCCTCATGGCCTGAGTCTCACCATGTAAAATAAGGTATCAATTCAATAATTTCTGGGGGATAGTCTGGTACCTTGCATGAAGTCCTTGAAACATTTTCTAAAAAGTTTCTCTAAATTTTTTCTTTAAATTGCTTGTAAGAATACTGTGAAATAATCTTATAAAGATGGCATATGTCGGATTTTCACTGTTAACTCTTTAATTTTCGAAAATTGCAGAAGATTGAATTTTTTCAGCGTCTTTCTAAAACTACAAAATTGAAGATAAGAAATTTTTCCTTCGAACGAAATTTGTTCTCCATTATTACTTTTTCTACTAGGCCATTTACATGTTTTTGAATAATTTGAAAGTAGTTTTCGCGCAATTTTGTGTAAAATATGATTAATATACAGAAATATCAAAATTGAAAATTTCTCAAAACCTGCTCCAAAATTATTTTAACTTTTGGTGGAGATAGTTCAAATATAATGTATAAGATGACAAAAAACCAGCAAAATTGCATTTCAGTACACAACTGGTATTATTTTGACGTCTCTCACGTGGTTCCTACAAGGTGCGATCAAAAAGTAGTTGAACTGATTTTCTGTAGGCGAAGCAAACCGACTGAGAGAAGCCCGGGGGGCACAGGAAGAAAAGGCGACCATGATGGAAAGAACATTTTTTCCTTTATTAATGTTATTTCCACCATGAACGCGACCTTCCGCAGTTGCCTGCGTGCCATTGGAGAGTGAGAACACCGTTTTCCTCAAATCACTGTAAAGAGTGTCGACACGCTCAGCATGGAACGGAATCTCGAGCAGCGCTAGTGTGAAGTTTATTTCGGACTTGGAAAAAACCGCCACGGAAACCTTGGATGCGATCAAGCAGGCCTCCGGGGTGCTTCTTTGAGCCTCAAAAGATGTTTTAAGTTGCACAAGTTGTTCCGGGAGGGAAAGGAGCTCGTCGAGGTTGACCAACGACAATGGTCGACGAAATTATGTTAAAAGTGAAACAACTTCATTTTGATCGTCGGTTGCCCTCTGGGCAAATCATTACTACAGGGGTTTACGCGGAAGTAGGCGGTTGGTTGCGAAAAGGAGTCAACTGCCAACGACCGACGTCGCCCGTTCGTGGAAGCGAATGGTTGCAGGCGGTTGACTTCAGCGCCACACCGCGGTGTTGGTACAGGAGCGGCTGGCTCATAACGGCATTGTGACGTTGCCACACACATCCTACAGCCCAGACGCGCATCCACTCTTTTCTTTCATCCACCTTTCTCTTCCATCGCCTGAAAGGGGCAATGAAAGAATAACCTTTTGACTCCATCCAAGACGTCCAAGCTGTAACGAGGACCCTCAACAGGATTCCAGAAGACGTTCGGGGATTGGCAGACGCGTTATACTCGGTGTGTCGAAGCCAGGTGCCCAATTTCAAGGATGATAAAGGATTTGTACACATATGTGCAATAAATTATTTTTAATAAAATCATGCTTACTACTTTTTGATCATCCCTTGTATTTACATTAAAGGTAATTTGTATACATTACTGAATTTATTAAAACATACTTCAAAGGATGTCTTATAAAGTGTCTCAAACTCACTCTCGCTTTCTGTGAAAATGAGCTCAAAAGTCCTTATTTTCAAAAACAGCTTCAAACTTTTCATCAAACTGTTATGCTAAATGCACTGTATAAGACTGCATAAAAGCCTTTTTTTTAAAATACAAAATACAGCAAAAGTAATTTTTTTAAAATATTTCATGCTGTTATTATGTACATTTGTAGCAATTTGTATATATTATTGCATTTGAGAGTGGAAGTTATTCAAAAGACTTCCAATAAAGTTTCTTGAAAACTCGAAGTTTAACAAGAAAACGAAATTTCTTAAAAACAGCTCCAAATTTTTCAATGAATATTAAAAAAAAAAAAAATAAATAAATAAATAAATAAATAGGTTTACTCTTCTATAATATACTTCATGTAATATTTTGTCTACCAAAGAAACTACTTAATAGATAGATGCCAATGGGCAAAAGGATGGGGCAAGACCGAGAAGCTATATATATATATTTTTTTCCACATTACTTATAAGTTTTTGAATATGAATGATTATGAATTTGATTTAAATGTTACATTTGATTGTAACTTAATAATTAAAGCTGTTCGTCTTGCATCTGTAAAATAATGTAGCCTTACACTTACTCAGATTTATATACTTAGAGAAGTTTACATATAATTTATCCAAATTATTCTGGAACTTCACACAGTCCTCCAATGATTTTATTGGTAAATAAAATTTCATACAGTCTTCACACGTTAATAGTGATTGCGAACAGTAAAGAACCCAGATTGAACCCTGAGGGATTCCTGATGATGGAAAAGACTCTGACCAATATCACACAAAACGCACAATATTAGAGCTTAATTTCAAGTATGAAACAAAAAGGCAAAAGTAATTTGGCTGGATATCAAGCAATCTATGCTTTGATCCAGTTTATCACATGCTTTTGAGAGGTGTGTATGTATTACATCAATCTCACCATATTCAGCACAAAGAGAATGGCATACAAGTAAAGTAGGTTGCTAACAGTGTATCTCTCATTGATAAACATGATGAGAAGTACAAAATACAATATTAATGGTTTTCTAAAATATTTGAAGTATGATAAGAGAGATGGGGTATATAGATTTCAATTAGTGCAGAATCCCCTCCTTTCAGAACTAAACAATTTTTTGCAATTTTCCAGTTAACTGGAAAAATTGTACCAAAGTATAATTTTAGCTAAAATTAAAAACATTGGACTGGATAATGACAGCACAATCTCACAAAAAACAAAGTAAGAATTTCATCTGTACCTTATCTGGCATTTGTTTAGACATAATTGATGTTAAATGTATATGTAGTGATAGTAGTGACTGCAGCTATTTACCACTATTTTCACTTTCTCTTATATATGAGTAGAACAGTTTTTGTAATGAAGAAAAAACAAAAAACGAGATTTAGACATAATTAATTTTGGGGGACCTTCATACTTTTTTAATGTATCTCTAATTAATACTAGCACTTCACAAGATTTTTCTCAAAATATTTCCTCAATCTTCATTCATACTCCCATGTTGCATTTCACTCTGTAACATCACTAGAGTTAAAATCTCAACTGGTGCAACAATTGTAGTACCGGGAACGTATAAGCGACTGACCATTCTCTCACCATGTGCTGTAGTGCGTCATGTGATCTGCCCTGAAGCAATCAGCTTGCGAAGATTTGTTTACTTTCTGGCAGCCAGAGTTCAGCATTGCCACTCATCTGACTCTCACAAAGTCATGGAGGCAATTAGGTTTGATTTGGCAAAAATTATGAACATGATATCAAGATGAGTCATAGCCTGTCAGTACGTGTTAATATTTTGAGATTTAATTTATCTGTGATGTAGTTGGTGCCATGTGCATAGTAATGTGTGGCAATAGCACAATGAAATGTCAGAGTCACATATACGCTGTCAGTATTATAGGCATTCCCTTAAGTGAATTAGTCTGTTGCGAGGTAAAATGTGTGATTTTTGCACTGGTTCTAGTAGTATAATACATAGCTATTGCAAATTGTATGAAAATATGCTGTTGTGGAACTTAGCATTGCCTTGGCTTCTATACTAAATGAATCAAAATATGATACATTGCTCAGAATATAAAGTTATGAATTGTCATTGAAACACAAATGAGTGTTTGAATGACAAAAACGAATGAAGTGTGCTGGAATGTCTATTTTATTATGTAGTATTCCCCCCACCCGTGTCTTCACATAAGCAAAATTAATAACGTAGCATAACAAGATCTCTCATCCTCTAAAAAATGTTTAATAAACAAAGGGTTAAATTTGTAGTGATTGACATATCTACCACATGGGTAGATATGATTATTAAAATTTTTGAGAAACTTACCAATGGTTCCCTGTTAAAACAAAATCTTACCTTCTCCCCTCAAATTGGTATTGGTATTGATCCTTATTCACAACTTTATCGATTTTTGTATTTCTTATATAAGGATATCTAGCGATTTTTAGTTAGTACATGAGCATGAGAATTCAATGACATGACATATTTTATTTTGATTGATGCTTTAAGGGGGGAAAAAAAGAAAAAATGCAAGCATCGAATTCAACACAGACTGGTGTTTTCAGGCCCAATAATACAGGTCTGCAAAATTAAAAAAATTGTTTGTGAAATTTCATTTGTAGTTTACAGAATTTGGTTTGCTGATTTCAAAAAGTTCCATTCTTTTTTTATCACGTAATTTTAAGTATGCTATAATATGTGGGAAAATAATAAATTCAGTTGTTTAAAGAATATACTTGAAAATGAAAATTTAAAGGATCAAATGGAGAATTTTATACTCACCCTGTACTCTCAAGTAGGAAGAAAGTATTAGAAATTTTACATCTTTAATGAAAAATTTCCAAATTCTGGAACATTTTTGTAAGATTATAGGTATAGAAAAGCAATAATCTTGCCTCTTTTGTTTCAGGTCACTAAAGAGATAAATGGACATTTTAAATTTTCAACACAAGATTGCCCAGTTCTTTTGCGAAAAGGTTTATTAATTTTCTCTTTTATTTTTTTAAAACATAGTTACCTCAGAAATTTTTTGCTGGTGCTTATTTTTAAGTGATTTAAATCATGCGTTTAATTTTTTAGGAGTTACAGAATTATTTAATGGGTTGGACTTTACTGATTCTGCCCTGACAATAATATCTCTATCGTGTAAGACATGTCCTGACACTCGTGAAGATCCTGGAAATGAGGGGATGGTTAAAACAGTTAAGTTAAAATATTATCACATCCCTTTGCTACTAGTTGGAATATGATACTGTACAATTAATGTAAATGCTGAAATGGACAGTACCAATTATAATCCCTCCCTCATTTTGATTTACTGTTAACAGTTGTGAAACAGTTTGTTCTAGCTGCTCAAGAAATTTGTGCCAGATTAAGGATGGCAGGTTATTGGGCCGACTTCATCAATCCCTTTTCTGGCAGGCCTTGTATTAGTCCAGCACCAACTATGCCCCTATACGAAACAGATCCTCGTTTCCGTTGTCTGGATTTTCAAGTAATACAACAAGCAGGTTGTAAAGTAATTGGATTAGGAAAGAAACACAAATTCATAGGTAAGTTCCATTCTTTCCTAGCTATAAATAGAACTGAAAAATAAGGAGTTGTGTAGAATAGTAAAAATCTCATTACTTCTCCAATTTTGTGCCCTCAGGAAGCTTGTTCACCACTGCTCCAACAGACGCTGCCATCCTCAACAAAGTCTTCTCTAAATATGAATAAAAGTATCTTCTTTCAGAAATGTTAATATTTTAGAATGTAAATAGAATTATTTATAAAATGTTCAAAAATTTGAAGGTTATAAAGTTCACTCTTACAGAAGTATTGAACGCACGTGTTTATTTAAACATATCGACATAAGAGATAATACAAAGCTTGGTTCTGTGAAGGTTGTCTTTTCAACCCATTGCAAGAATACAAACTATACATGGATTTAAATTTAAAACGCAAAATATCCTAATATTCATCGTCTGAAACCTGTCCCACATCAGCATTTCGAGCTAGCATGTAATTGTCCATATCAATTGAACGACAGTTATTAATGGCATAACGCAGTCGTTCTGCCAACACTTCCTGGCTACTGTAAGGAGGCAGTCTTAGTTGAAAAAAGCAGGTCTGTGCTGTGGGGAGTCCATCTGGTGCACGATCTACTTTCATGACCTGAAATTAGAAGTATGTGTGTTACAGCTAGAAGAGAGGCAGGGGAAGGACTTATTTTTATAAATAGGAATCTACACATAGTAAAATATGACAAGCTCTACATTAAATGATTTTGTTGATGATTAAGTGTATTAACAAATATGGCACAAGTTTGATTTTAATTAAAACCTTTCATTTTGAAAATTCTTTAAAAGTAAATAAATAAATTATACCCTCCCAGACATTACAGCTCTATTTTCATATTTTAATACAGCTTTTTTCCTTAATTTCTTCTTGCTTTTTCTGCTTGTATAATTTATCAAACTGTGTATATTTTTTTTGGCAATTTTGAGTGAATTATTGCTGTTATGGTCCCTTCCTCTCCCTCTAACTGCCTTCATTTTAACATAAACAACCTCAACCTAATTAAGTATACATCGATTGTATTCGTAATTGAATCAGTAATTGAAGGTCATCATCAACCTAACAATATATTATTATTATAACAATATATTATTATTATTATTATTATAACAATATATTAACACATAAATGTAATTTATATAGTACAGTTTACATCTGTTGATGTAGACATTGTGCCCTTGAAACATGGTGATTTATGTAAGAGTTGCCAGAAAATTAGACTTGGAATTTCCATGGCCTTTCATTAAACCCAGAGAAAATTCAATTTGGACAGGCAATTCAAGCAAGAGACCATACCAGAGTTAGTTTGAAAAATATAAACAGTTATTAAGAACTATAATACGTCCAAAGAAAATCTCATGATAAAAAAAAATGTTTTTCAAATTTCATATTATTTTAGTTTAAACTTTTTCTTAAAATAATTTGCCTTAATAGCACGAAGTTCACTTAATAATATGGCATTTATCTGATTTATGTTAAATTTTTTCAAGCTTGTCCCCTCTTAAGATGACCTCATTCAGATTTATCAGGTATTGATTTACAAAATAATATAAGAGTGCAATTCAGAAGGTAAACTCCATTGCTGCATGTTTTGCGCTGTTGAGGGGGGGGAGGGACACTGCACGTAGGTGCATGAGGGGAGTTTTGTCCGTGGTGGAAGGGACCATAACATAGTAGTTCCACCCGTAACTTTCAAAAAACATTATCTCGTCCCTTAGCTTGTTCTTATACGATGTAGTCACTGAAAAATCAAGCTCTGTCGTAGTTAGCCGAATTGTTTAACAGTTCAGTCATGGGAGTTATGCAATTCGAGACACCACGGATTCCTGGATGGATGACTGACCGGTTACTACCCGCATCGAGACCCTGGCTGAAGGGATAAAAGAAGGCACTGACTGCGATGTGACGAGACAAAATAAGTTAATGGGAGATTACTTCATATACGCTCAATATCCAAGAAAGGTCAAAATACTTGTTGCAAAGACATAAAACATTAGTTTTGTCCTTCTTGGATACCAAAACTGCTGTCTGGGATTAACAATATCAAAATGATGGGCTTCGCCCTTACACTTCCGTTTTGGGTTATGACAGTCAATGAACCACGAAAACAATCCCTTTCCCTTCCCAAAGCCAACCTTTCCTTCCACGCATCGTCCAACATTCATCCTCCATTAGCAGAATAACCTTTGTTCTATCACCCAAATTCCGGATTCCCGTCCATGGGGACGGGAGTTTTAAAAAAGATCTAGCAGATAACCCCGAATGAAGTCTCGACGAACGTCTCACGATAAAGGCCCATTCACAATGCAAATGTAAACATAAGCATGGCGTGGACATAAACGTTAAGACTTCGTCCATAAGCGGACTCATTCACAATGCGTTCGCATACGCATAACATGTAAGACGTTAACTTAAAAGCTTCTGTGCTTATGCTTACGGAAGACATACGAAATGAACCAATCACAGAAAGGTATCTCAGAATCAAAATTGGAACGAATTCGTTAGAAGAACACGCCATATGTTAGGAAAATGTTTTGTGTCTGTGCGCTCTGCTCATGTTTACGTTTGCACTGTGAATGGGCCTTCACACACCACCAAGGCGAGGCTGGTCTGGAGCGAAGTTAAGAGTATTCGTTTGATATTGAGGCCCGAGCTTAGAGTTACGGTTTGAGGCGGGTTTTGTTAGTCATTGAACAGTTGGTCACTTTTAGTAATTGTAGTTTTTTTCTATTCATATTAATACTTAAAAATTCCCTGAATAAAAATAAGTTTTTATATATTTCGTTAAGATACATCGATGTTTATTGCTTTCATAAATTTTACTTTATGTTTTCCATAAGTTCGTGGTAGTTTTTGAATTTTGCATTTTAATTATTTCTCTAAACATTCTTTCGCTTAAGTATTTTTTATGCGTAGCAGCGCGTGCAAATAACATGCAGATGGCAAATGGAAGAGTGAACAAAACAGCATAGTTATGAATAGCACATTTTATACACGTGCATTATTTCGGCAACTCATAGCGCTATCATCTTCCCGTTGGCGTTTATTGTGAAGTGCACATATCAAGTGTCCCCGTTCCAGGGTCCTATATCCGTCCGCGGGCTATTGTGGGGGCGGCCTTAAGGTGACACCAACAGCGAGAATAGCCCTCAGTTTGACCACTGCCGTTTGGAACCCTGATTCACAAATGTATCAGCCTCCCTATCAACATCACTCAAGCCCATAGGCCCATTGAAGGTTTGTTCGCACCCAACCGGTATGGCTTTGTAGCGGCACGGGTTTAGTGTTTGGGATGGAAAGGAGACGGATAGATGACGTCAATATCACTGTCCGCACACCTATGTACAGAGCTTAACTCCCGTAACCACTGACAAAACAACCGGCAAACCACGCTACAGAAAATTACACACTTGCCCGAGGCAGAATTTAAACCCGCGGGTCCTCGAGACTACCTTTACTTTAACGAGGGCGGATGATTTCTTGGAAGTGCTCAACAACTCTGATTTGAATCCTATTTCCTAAACTCTGTCAGTTTCTTGAACATTTTTCTAAGTAAAGATAACTGTACTGGAGTAGAAGTGCCATTTTCATTAAAACTTCTGAATTTTCAAAAATTGAAGATATTGATTATTTTGTTTCGAGTTGTCAGCCTAATTTTGTTGATAGCTTTGCAAGAGAAAGATGAGGTGATAGTGGGATGGAAGTAGTAATACTACACAATTATGAACCGTTACAATTGAAATGAAGCATGTGCATATGTAGCACCACTCGTTAAGCGTTTTACCTGGAATCGTTGAGAGAGGTCAGCAAGATTTGCTGGCAGACGAGATCTTCCAGAAACAAAGCGCATAAATAATACTCTTTCAGCATTAGTGAAGCCTTCCAGGACATCCCACAACCACTGAACCAATTGGCTGCTCTCGTCAAGTTCACGGTACCTGAAATGAGAATTGTTTCATGACTTATCCCTTTCAATAAAAGTACACGAAATTCATATTTTGGAAAATGCTTAACAAAGGACAGAGATGATTTGTAGTGGTGTAAGGAGTAAAAACAAGAAAATGGATGATGAAATGGATGTTGATCTCATTGTTGGGACAAGTATTTAATAGCTTTTGAAATCAAAATATCTACTCCATCTGCAGTGAGAAGTAAATACTCACCTAACTACTTTTCGCAGGAGCTGAATAGAAATGTGTGGCAATCCACAAACCAATTGTTCCAAATGTTGAGCAGTAACTAGAGAGAGAAGAGGAACTGGCATAATCCAAGCCATACCCTCTCGCATTGCTGCAACCTAAGGAAGAATGTCAGGTATCAGTTACAGTGTTGTGAAAATACATATTTTATATCAAAATGTTACAGGTAAGGTGACTAAGAACATTGGACAATAGCTTTAATAATTTAATTTTATTATTCACAATAATATATAACAATAAATAAGAATTGGTGCATGGAAGGATTGATACTCTTGTGCTCCATTTGTGTAGTTTATTAAGGATAGTTGAAGTCGCCTGTGGGTAACACTGATGCTGCTGGATGAGTAAATTATGGGAAAATAATCCGGAAACGGCGATGACTTAACAGTGTCTCGCACGGTCGACGCTATACGGATTATAACAATGGCAAGTAATGGTCATCAGCATCAAATCTTGCGGGATGTCGTCTTCGAGACGGTGACTGCTAGACAGCTTGTCACCAACGTGAACACGGAAGGATCTATTCGAAATAAAGTTTTAAACAAACCGAGGGAGCTTCCCCCTTAATTCCCGAGAGTGCAAGTTACGCAGAATGCCGCACCTCCTCCTTTACTATATCAAATAGTACGGCCAAGAGGTGTTGCCTCAAGAGATTTCTGTATCCAAAGTAACAAAATGGTCCAGAGTTGACCGGTGTTTTCTGATCCAGACCAAGACGCTGATTTACAATGCGTTCCAGCTCTGCAAACTTAGCTGGAAAAAGGAACCGGGAAGCTCGATGTCAACGAGTTCGCCTTACTCATTTTTCGTAGTCAGCAGCGAGTTCATCTGTAGTCGCATCTCGAGACGTAATCATCTCTTCATTCTTAAGCTGAAAAGACATTATTTCGCGATGTCTTTTAATTTCGCGAAACTTCCTCTCCACACCAGACGCGGCAACTGAAAGAGGAGACATACATTGCATTTTTGCTTTCTAAAATGGTTTTCTTCGCCCGGCATACTTTGTGAAAGGTAACGGTTTTCAACCACGATAAGGTTTTCCACGTTTGGATAATGCTTGAATCGTGCCAGTACCTTTTTAAGTCAGTGAACCCAACAGTTCAAATCCCAACATGGGACGAAGAATTGTCGCCGTATACCGGTTGAATGGGGAAATGCAATGAAAGTAGACTGGAGTATGGCGTTATTGAAATGTGCAGCCATTCCGAGCACATCGTCGGAGGAATCATCTGAGAAGTCGACATTACCTTTAAATGTCCACCAGTCAGCACGTTGAACGATCGATCCATTGATGGGCAAAGCCACTACCACATCGATCAAAGTGGGCCAGTCGTAGTGCTTCGTTTCATCATTAAAACACGGCATTTCAATTGTTCTTTAAAACCACGAAAATACGTTTCCACTAAAATATAGTCTAAACGTTAAATATTTTACACTAAAATCTGTCAAAACCGGAATCTGTACAAGCTGGAAAACTGCCAAATTCGGAAAATTTCTCTGGCCCATGAATTAAATGGCATTTTACACAGCATAAGATGGAACCTCTCCAACGTGGAAACGGAACGGTTTTTTATGTCCTACAGGAAAACATCTTTATAAAACTTACTAAATTTAACACAATTGGCAGATACGATATGTTCTTAATGAATGCATCTGCAAGCTTATTTTAAATTCCTTATCCCCGTGACACGCGAGTCATGGAAGACAGATATTGAAGGAGAGGGTCTTCAGTTGTCAGCGTTGAATTGCACCTTCAGGTCGCTTGTCACTCTCAACGCGTAGGCCGTAGGAGATCCCTCGACTCTCTGAGCTAGTCAGCGCCAATCATTTGGTTGCGTCACTAAAAGGCCCATGCCCCCGTATTGGCCCGAATGGACAAAGAGTAAACCCAGTAATACTGCCAAGAATGTGGAGGAAATCGTAGCAAGGCACCAGACATCGGAGAGAGCGCCAGTACGGCGCTCTTTGGTTTCAAAATGATTTTATATACATAGATATTGCTGCAATATCTTGAACATTGAATGTCATTAAAAGGAACATGTATATTCCTATTACGATATATTTTCAAATTATCTAGGGGTTGTGCAACCATGCAATCTAAGCATGAGCCGCCATTGTTGGAGGGATGTAAATATTGCATACACTGAGCTTGAGGTATACCTGCATAAACAATTTTAATGTTGGTCTCAACCACGGGCGGATCCAGTGGAAGGGGGGGGGCATACGTACCATTGGGGATTGGGATTGGGGACCATACATTGAGGATTGGGATTCCCAATCGTGACTAAAAGGCTACGGACAGAACGCGCGGCTACTTCGATTCATTTGAGAAGTTTCCACATTTGTCTTGTTTCTTACTTTTAATTTCCTGCACTTTCCCCATTTTAATTTTTTCACCTGGGAGGGGGATGGCCTTTATACCTCCCTTGGACCCCGCCTCTGGTCTCAATAGGTGCATCTGTAGAAAGCAAAGAGCCCTGAATCAAATTAGCAACTCCGTCGTGTACTCTGATGCCGTCATCAAAATCAACCCTAAAACTCCTGGGGTAAAACCGCGGAAGGATAGGCGTGGTGGAACTAGGCACGACTCCTCTAAACAGATTGAGGGAATGTAACGGTACAATTTTTTTAATAGTTTTAATTCGTTCAGTTGAGAAAAAAATCAGTTTAAGTTCCGGATACGTGCCAAACTGAGTAGTCATAAGGTATTCTTCTTACCCTTTTTCCGTTTCGGTCGTATGTTGCCCGAAGGGACCACCCCAACTAAAGTTTCCTCCTCCGAAGAATATCCCTGACACTGCTCGCCAGCCTGAGCGATCGCCCAGAGCGAGTCTAAGGAGTCGGACTAGGTGGTCGGGGTTTGGGACAGTGGTCACTATGAAGCGACTGACCTGCATGCGGGACTGAGTGGAAGTGGGTGATTGGTTAGAGGTCGAACTTTCTTGGTCTGTTTCTTATATTTGGTGGGAATTATTATTTCCCCATCTTGCAGAGACGATTTCTCTTCTGGAAAGTCCACAAAAGGCACTAGGCAACAGAAGTGCGCTACTAGGGGAGAAGCAGGTGTCGTTTGGAAACTCGTTGATGCTTTATCCGTCTTAGTCACGGCACAAGAGTTGGACCGAAGGAGATCAACAGAATTCCTTGCTAAGTACCGACGTTTGGCCTGGGAACAGGACGCTTTCTTGCTAACAGGGATATTCTGAATCTTCCTTTCCTTCAGAAAGGTGGGGCTCTGGGTAGAGTTGGCCGCATGGTCTTCTTCACAGTTTACACAGCAGTTGGGTAGCACACGGTTCTGGTTCGTGCATTGTTGCGCATTTTGCGCATGCACCCTCGCTGCGTATGGTCGAACATTTGGCATTTAATACAGCGTAGAGACTTAGAAACATACTCTCACGTGAACATCGTAAATCCTGCAAACTAATCCTTTCTGAGAGAGATGGAAGATTGAACATCAGGATCAGAGTAGGAGTGGCGATCTCTCTCATGCTCTTTTCTCTTGATTCTGAACACCTCATTAACCCTCTTTTAAAGCCAGAGAGGTAAGCCATCGTCAAATGCGAAGTCATGGTTGACAACTCTCTTACGAAGGTTAGGTGTAGGGTGGTGAATGATTACGTCCACCTTGAGACAGGCAATCTATTTAGTTTTTAAGATTTTTTTCAATCTGCTCGTCGGTGCGCACAAAGAGAATGGTACAATTCCTTTTTTGGCACGACCGTTTGGAGCTTCCCAAACGATTTTCTATACTTACACGAGACGGACTGCATTCACACTTTTAAATGTTTTACCTTCCTCTGCGCCTGCTGTAAGAAGAAAACATGGTTTCTTTGTCCTCTAATCCGAGAAAAACTATTCAAAATCACGCTCCGTTAAAACCAAACTCCGTCACTTTCTTCCGGATGTGGACAAGTGGGTGGGTTTAGATTCCATACGATCAAAGTTATTTCGTCTCCGTGCTCCCCACCCACCACCGAATGGGGTGGGTGCTACGGTTGACAAAGATATATACTAAGGGATAAAGCTACCCAACAATGGATCCCCCCACGCACCTTGCAGTTTTGTCAAAGACGTAATCCGACTTGATTGATCGGGAGTGGGATAGCTTCCGATTACCCGTCTAGAAGAGGCAGAGGCCATAGTGTATTGAAGCACGCAGTAACCAGGAGTGGTCGAGGTTTGCACGACGAACAGAGCCGAAGCTTACCCCCGCCCCAAGGCACCAGCGTCCAGGCCGCAGAGGAGGAAGTACGCACAGTCATCTCAAACAGCAGGTAACCCATTCCGCGGCAAATACACAGCTGGGCATTCAACATACAGAGAAGACCAGCGAAAAAAATAGTTATACCAGAATCATGGAGACAGGGGAGCATAAGACTTGAAGGTGTAAATAGTAAAGAGTAACACTTGAAAGGTTTCACCGCATCCCCATATAGGATGTGGACCCGACCCAACTGAACGGGGTGTTTTCGACAAAAAAATTAACATTCAAAAACTACAACATCGATGATATTTTTAGTTAATCAAATATACTCTTCAAAATTTGATTTTTAAATATGTTCATATATATTTTTTTTAATAATTGTGGTATCCCGTAATTTTTACTTTCGAATTTGCAAAATCGGATTTCCTGCTCTTCTTTTGCTGAAAACAGCCTTTCATGAGATATCAATCACAATATAATGGCAAAAGATTCTGCGACACAGCAGTTTGAAATTCGTAGAATTACTTCTCATTGTACGGTGATATTTCTCGCTATATTTAATTTACTATTATTACGGTCAGCGGTTACCTGGTAATGTCCGCACATGTAGATTTCATGTTGAACAAAAAAGAATAGCACAACGAATATATAAATACATGATGAATAAATATAAGGACACGAAGCCGCAAAAATAAATCGTACCACAAGATTTAATAATATAGTCCCAAAACGCAACAGGATGAATAAACGGAAGAGAGCTGTTGTATATATCTAACATTTCTGAATTAAGTACCAGTCAAGTCCAAAATTGTTAATTTCGCCGTTATGTACGTCCGTGTTCTAAAATGCGTACTTCGCCTGGGTTTGCACGTCAAGCCACCCAATCTGCTGGATGTTGAAGGCGTCCAGTTTCCTCTTGGAAATGGTCACATTTGGAGAGTTATATCATGGAGAGCATTCCGGTTGTCAACTACTCTATCGAAGAGAATGTGTTTTGCAGGTTTTTAGTTCTCTCCCTGTTCAGCTTTAATACATGACCTCTCGTGTGGGGATTGTGCATTTGGGTTATGACATGGTACATTTGGGGAAATTTGTTTTAACCTGATATTTCGGTAATAATTTAATTCATTCTATGAGATCATGTATTCCCGTGTCCAACAAGTTTGGAGAGTAAGTGACTGGAGCCTGTTCTCGTTTGTCGCGTGTCTCAGTATTAGTGGTAGTTTAGTAGCTCTTCTCTGAAATATGTCCGTAGAAAATCGTGGGGGTTTCGTGGCCAAACGTTATGTTGCTAGCCTTTCACCAAGGAGGTCCGGGTTCCATTCTCAGACAGGCTTACGTGAAATTTGTTTCAACAAAACGAGTCTTCCTGCTTCACCGGGGGCTAGTCCTAAACCCTTCCCAATTGTGGCCGCTGGGGAGGGACGCATAACATAACAGCTTCCTCTGGAATACAGATATTAATGGAGGATTACTCCGCAAGTAGCGCTCAATACTCGACCAGGGGCTAAGAGACGCGGTGCATCGATTAATAATAGTAATAACAATGAGTGACCCAACAAATTTTTTAAAAAAGTGATCATGTGTTGTGGGCATACTCTAAACATGGTAGCACATTAGTAGAGTTGATTGAGAATTTAGGGGTGATGTTTGGAAAGGTTTTCGGATCATATAGAGTGTTGGCTTTTCTTGTTACATTTCACGTGTGAATTACTTTTCGAATCAGAAGAAATAGGTCTCGCTGTGTTTCAATGTGGAGTGGAGGAGGTGGTACAGGGATTTCTGTCCTGCGCGCAAGTGTAATCGGCACTGGCCAAAGCACCTGCGCACACGTCACAATTTCGGAAACAGCCTTGGCAATATCGTCACCTGGATTTCTGTCAATATAATTAAATGGTATTCGGTCAAACATGGCTTGTGCTAATCATGCTTATTCGACATGGCCCGAGGTTATTTCCTTCACTAGGCTTCCATCGGTTGCTACAATGATAACTGCTACGCGCACCATTGTCGTTCGACTAGGCTTGCCCGAGGAGATAGTGTGTGACAATGGTTCTCAGTTTACGACACAATAATTTCATTCATTCTGCGAACATTGCGGTATACTCAACCGTTGAACAGCGCCGCATCACCACACAACCAACGGCGAGGCAGAGCAGTTGGCTCGTTTGTTCGAAAGGGACATTACAGCATTTCGTCCTGAGAAATGCGAGGCGAACGCTCAGATTTCTCCTCACCTACTGTACGACGCCGCACGCTACAATGAGTCATGCACCATCTGAATTTAGTGCTCGGACGCACAGCCCCTACTCCATGGGATTTTTTGCGAACATCAGTCGCGGAAGAAAGAGGAACGTATACAGCTTGCAGAAAATCGAGGTCGCTCGCGCGATTTTAAAGTTGGCGATTTAGTCTGGGTTCAAGATTACCGGCATCCATCCAATGGAGATCATAACTCAGGTATTGGGTCCACTTAATTTGCTTGTCCAAACGGAGATTGGCGTTTGGAAGCGATATTTGCATCAAGTACGTCAGCGGAGTGCAGTCACTGAACATACCTTCATTACACCTCCAGTATCTGCAAATTCAGAAGATGAACCTACAGCCTTCCGACATACACAGCGAGAAATCCGGCCTCCGTTGTGATACAGCCTTGAAACTGATGGGGAAGGAAACGCAGTACGAAGGTCACTCCAAAAGTACTGCACATGAATTTAAAAAAATCATTTTCTTTTCTATAGATCCTACAAAAACTGTAAAAAAAGTATTCTTCTCACTTGAACTAAACATTTTTTCAACCAGTTTCCAAAAGTGTTGCTCTTGTAGCGCTCTTTTAAGATGGCTGCTGCATTAGATGTTCATTGGAAGCAATGTGGAGTGATAGAATTCTTGTGCTGTGAGAACAAGACGGTGACAATCACAAGACGTTAAAAATATGTTTGCGGAAATGATGTACATCGCAGTACAGTTAGTCGGTGGACTTTCAGATTTCTGGTAAAATAAGGCAGATGAAAATTCAGGATCTCCCAAGCAGCGGCACACAGCGCTCTTCACATTTTCCTGAAAATGTGCAGTGCAATCACATTCTCATTTCGATTCACAAACATGTAGCTGTGAAAGAATTGTCAATGAAAGTTGTATATGAGAAGAGAGTGTGGGCAGAATATTACAAGAAGTGCAATTAAAAAAGGTTTGCGCCCAATGGGTTCCAGGTGATGCCTCTCTTGACAAGGGTGAGGCAGTAGAAAGAGACTGATCAAATGTGGAGAAGTGCATTTTTGTCCCTCAAAGATGGCTCAACAAATTCTAAAAGTAGCAAAGGTATGGAAAATAAATTGAATGTAAAAATTGTTGTGTATTACTTTTGGAGTGACCCTAGTTGTTCGTGTTTTGTTTCTTTGTAATACCGTTACTGGATTGCACAATTCTTTGTTTTGAATAAATACGCTTGTCTAAGTTCCACAGCTGAAAGATTCAACTGTGAATAGTCTCTCGAGTACACTGTAACAACACAGACTGGAGTACCCCAGGGTACTGTGTTAGGCCCAATTCTTCTTATTCTAAACATGATTGACTTCTGAAAACTGCTGCAGCCAGAATCATAATCTAGTCTATCCGGGTGATGCTGCGTTGAAGGCTCAGGTGCCGACGTTTCGACCGACATCCATTCATCAAGGCTGTAGTGCATAGATCAGTCAGCCCAAATCATGATTCTGGACATGGAAGCCCAATACATCATTTTACTTTCTCTACACTGCGTAAGCAGCAACAAAAAAGGAAAACGAGTAATGGCTGCCCAAATGGCACTTGTCCTTGAAGAAATTTGATCCCATGCTTCTTTGTCGTCACAACAGGTGCAAGCTTATGTAGCTTCCACAAAAACTTTATTTTCACATTGTTTTATTTAATGTTAATATTTAAAAGTTAATTTAAAAAAATTAAATTAACTTTTACTTCAAAGTGTAAGAACCCTGCTGTATAAGGTATCACCACTCTGCATTACACATTTGGGCTTGGAAAGCATTCTGAATAACCAGAAATGAGCACGAATTGAATATCAACCATCATCCCAGAGTTCAATTCGCGACTAAGATAGATACATATCATCTGTGAAAATCAATTGGACAAATATAAAATAAAAGTATCATTTTTAAATGTTTTCAAATATAATACGGTTGAGTATTGAACAAAATAAATCACCTATTTTATTACAATGATTCCCTGTAGGAACATTACACTCTGAAATGACTAGATGAACCTGGCATAGAGGGGCAGTGAAAGGGAATGGCAGACTTCTTGGGATTATGATGTGCGAGTTAGAGATACACATATTGGGCAAATTTGGAAAATATATATCATTACCAATTGATTGAAAGCTCTCAATTCTAAGCTTCACTCTAATCAATGATACTCACCTGTAAATCCATTTCATGAAGCCTGAAATGGACAGCTTGTTCTACATATTGCAGGCGGTTGTGAAATGTCAAAGGGACACTACGTCCACCTGGGATGATTGGAACCACTTTTCCAGTACAACTGGTCCCTTCAAAGCATTCCAGTGGAATAACCTGCCAAACAAATAGCACAATAATACCACTTACATAACTCTGTCATAACATATTAATACTACAGATTACTATAACTACTGCATAGAAAACGATTTTGATAGCAGGGATTGCCTCATGAAGTATTGTTCAAACATTTCTCTCTCTTCCCAGACTCATTCAGATTCATACTTCCCTCTCTCCAAAGTCTCTGAATGTGGGAAATATTTTGGGCATGAATTCTTAGGGGCATTGCAACAGTCAATCAATTCCAGGGAATTGGTACCATATGTATGTGATGCAGCCATGCAACACAAATATCATCAACTGTCACTGATACAAAATGCACGGAAATGTCATAGTACAAAGAGGCGCAAGTTGCCCAGTGGCAGCCAATGTTATCGTGCACATGTGTATAGGAATGTTGTTTTCTACGTAGATCACCAATAATTTCCAAGAATATCATTTGAAATCATAGCAGAGATTCAAAGCACCGGGAATATTCTAAATCATCGGAGCTCAGACTGAGTGAAACCACAACAAAGTATAAAATAATATTTCAAAATAAATTCTATATAATATTAAAGAGGTCCACTCAATAAACATTTGGACTGAAAATCTCTTATAATATGACCTTACTTAAGACCACAAAATGTATAATTTCTTATACCACTGTCAATTGTATGCAGCTCTTTTTAACAACTTCACCTCACCTCATGGAATGTTGTTTCAGTTACACCAGACAAATGAATGTCTCGAATACCCCTTAGGCTTTGGGCATACAAGCTATCAGTCTCTTCTAAGTCATCCATTGTCGCAGGTTCACCAACCAGAAGTTTCCATACCAAGGGCGCTAATGGAACTGCTAATGGTTTTTTGGTTCGTACAGCAACACCAAACAGAATACCTAAACAAATTAGATTAAATAATTAAACAGGCAAATCATGGAAAGAAACTATCAATTTAGTAATGATGTTCATAAATATTTTTTGTCATTTCTAGCCCATGATGGAAACTCAGAAATATTTGTGGTAAACTGGCAATTCCTTACCAAGAAATTTAAACCATGAAATGTGCTGCACAGAGCACAATTGAGGATTCAAAAGATACCGATCTCTATTGTACCCAGTGTCATTCAATGCATTTGGAGTAGGGACCAGTAATGGCACAGAACCACTGATAAGTTCTTGGCACATCTCTGTTATGGTGTCATCAAAAACACCTCCAGCATCATCAGCTCCTTCTCCAACTAATTTCACCTGAAAAAATTTATTCAATTTAAGAATTAAATTGACATCAAATAGCAACAACAGTTGTTATTCCCTACGGGACTAATAAAAGTAAATGATTGAAAATTATGACAAATGGAGTTTTGATAATGTAGTGCATCTATTTAAGAACTGCTGACTGTCCTATATGACATCCTATGTTGTTTGTCTTTTTTAAGGAATATAAAAACAATCCATTCTATATATCAGAGCTTCTGATAAAAATATTGAGAGAATTTTACTACAAAGACAAGATGATTTGATTTTAATGCATGTGATTTAAAACATGTTTCCTTGATGTCTGAAGTGCATAGAAGTTGGCGATCATTTTCAATGTCTTCTCTGAAGTAATTTATAAGAGTGCAGTTCCTGGTTCAAACAGGGGCTGTTGAGCAGCCACCTCTCACAGAAATAAGGGATCATCGCCCAGAACTTGAAGTGCTTAGACAGTTCTTGCATAGACGCCTGTATTAAGTAAGTAAATGGAAGATATTACTCTTACAAAAGGAAATGTGTTATTAAATAGAACTAACGTACCCATGTGAGAACTCTTGCATGTTAAACCCCACTCTCTTCTCTACCCTTCCTTTATTATCAAGGAATATTGTTAACGAAATGTGTTTATTTGTTTTAAAAAAATGTAAAAAGGTAAAAAAAAAAGGGTTCCAATGCATTTACAATAACAAATAATAATAATAATAAAAATAAAAATAATGCTATTGATATTTTTAAAAAAATCTATGAAGGTTTATTCAGTATTAGAGACAGATGTTCTTGGAACAATTCACATTACTTCCTTACAAACATCATTTGAAGTAAGTATACAATCTTCCTTGGTGGAAGATTGCGAAGAAGCTAAGGAAAGCGAAATCTTCCTTGATAGCCTCCTTGTAATTATACTAACTGAACATATTTTAAAATACCAGTACAATACACCCTTGTCAACACAAACTATTTAACAAATTATTCAACTTAATTACTGAACATAGAGGTACACTCGAACAATTCAATCATGTAGAATATCAAGTAATTAATTTATGGAGGTACATTTCATGCCCCCAAGTAGTTGGGGGAGTATCGAAAAACACCAAACAGCAAAAGTGTAGTAAAATGTTCAAAAAGATCTGAATATTTTTTATGTATGTGTTCGTCATGTGTAGGATGAGTTAAAACATGTTTGATAGCAGCCTCCCACCATTATACTTCATAAATTATTATGGCATGATTAACAAATGAAGTTGCATTAAATGCAAAATATTAAATTAATTGATTTAATTTTTACAAATAATGTACTTTTTTTTTTTTCCTTTCTTTCCCCCCCCCTTTCCTATTGACTTTTTCTTCTTCCTTCTTCCCCTCCCCATTCTTGTTGTAAATTTTAAAGAGAAATTTATTATAAACTATTTTTTGACAGTTGAAGATTTGTGGGAGTGTATGATATTTTGTGACATTTTTAGTGTATTTAATTCCAGGCATCATAAAACATTTGCGATATTGTTTAATCATAGAAAAGAAGTATACTTGGATTTCATAAATACCTTCCAAGCTCGTGAAGGCAGGCGAAGCTCAGCTGGTTTCATTTTGACTACCTGCCGAGCAACTTGCACAAAAATAGGCTTGCATCGTCGGCCACGAGTTGCCAAGCGACGAACTGTGACCTGGGGACCGTAGTTACGACCTTGCACCATGGTACGGCCTACACTTCGCACTAATGGGAGAGTATAGACACGTGGTGCAAGAAGTGGTCGCAGCTGTGCTGATGTAAACACCTTGAGGGCTGGTGTAAGCCATTCACATTGCTGTTCAAAGAAAATTACATTAGAATAATCATCTTATATAATTTGAGTCCTCCATTGTAATAACTAAACAAGTCATGTTTTTATATTAAACAATCTTCAAAAATTGAAAATTATTTAAAATAAAGTAATCAAAATTCAAATGTATTTTGGTGATTTTATAACTATTGGTAGATGTGTACAACATTGCACAAGTACATTATTATACACAAAGAAAATTAGTCAATATTAGATACTGTTACTGAACTTTTTCCACAATGTTTGCTTCACATTTTTATTTCCAGTCACATTTGTGTTAATAATAATAATAATAATAATAATAATAATAATAATAATAACAACAACAACAACAACAATTATTACCTGAGGACAAAGGGGTAATAGACGCCAACAAGCATAAAGTGTATCAGAAAAGCGGTGCAACAATTTGAGACGAGCTTGTATGGCAGTGATCGGCAGTCCTTGCAAGTGGCCATATTGAGGAGGAATGCGAGTGGGCAATCCAAAACGCAAAGGAATGGACACTCCCGGACATCTTCGTGGTAACGGTGGAGAAGTCCAAGCAGCACTGTGAGTTCGTCCAGTAGATATCTGTGTAAAAGTAAGACTACTTTGAAACATCAATTTTTTTGAATACTTGTAACACACAATGAAGTTTTCCAGATAATACAGCAAAAACTAAATACTGTTGATTCAAACATTATACCTAAAGAAAATTAACATTTCTTTACTTTAAAAAATTCAAAATAAATGTCAGTAAAACTTATTGGGATAAAAATGTGTTATAACTGATTAAAGACTTCTTATCCAGAAATAACAAAAAATTACACTATGAAAATTTAATAATTCGTGCACAAAAAACATTTCTCGAATATCAGTAATAATAATCAATTAATAAAAGTTACACTTTCAATACTTAGCCAAACATATCTTAAGAGTATACAAAAAACGTTAACATTCAAAGCCCAGATGCTCACTCTTGAATTACAAATCGACCCACTTCTTCCCAACATTGCGTAAACACAATGCAATTTTTACTATTTTATTTTACCTACATTTGTTGAAAGCATTAATAATTTTTTATACAGTAAATAAATCTTTAATGACTTTAAAACTATTTTTATTTGATAAATATATATTAGATGAATACACATTTTAAATTTTTTCTCCAAGGCGCATGCCCTAATATGATGCCTCTACAATATGTGTCTTGACCTTGAAATTGATGATCAATGTGAATTTTTGTTATCACATTGCAAAATATAATATATACAAATAAAAGTGTTAATATTGAGTAGAATGTGATTTTCAAAACAATTTTATAGATAAATAAATATTGCGTTGTGTTTACGCAAAATTGGGAGTTTCCCTGCAGATTTGGGAATGGCCAAATTCCATTATGATGCCACGACAATGGTTTAGAGGAGCTTAGTATTTCTAAAGAGATGTAATAAAAAGTAGAATATGCTCTCTTTGGATTGTTCCATTAAGGGATATGCCAGAGAATATAATCTCTGTAGTTTTCTCATCACTAAAACAAGGCATGGCATAGTTGTGCCTTTCTATACAAAACAGTTTACACTGTCTTTCGAAGATGAATTGTGAAAGAAAGAAAGTTTGAAGAAATAAAAAGATATCCGCACATTTTGATCAAGGTAAAGGGTAGAAATCTGCAAAATTAAGCCCATTCTTTGATGACCAAAAGACATTTGCAATCCAAGGTGTTTAGCCAGAATTTATCAGAACTTATGAGCAGATATTTTCATACTTAGGGCAACACTCAGCTGAAACAAGTGAGATACGAGAGGTTTCGTTCATGATGTGGTGTGTATTGACAGGAAAAAACGTTTTTGTGAAACCATTTTATATTCATCGCAGAATATCAAAGAAGGCACAAATGTTTGACCTTAGATGATGCAATTTTCAATTTGATGAAATTTGTTAAAGAAAATAAGTATAGCACTTGCTGTTTCTTGGCAAACTTCTATATGTATCACACTATTTTTGTCACTTATCAGAAGTGGATTTCTATAGAAATAGAATTGTGGCAACTGACAGAAAAGGGCATCAGACCATTCGCTTTGAACCCAAAACATTATTTCAAAACAAAAGTTGTGTATGATTACATGATAGAAAAGCATAATTAGATTTTAATTTGTTAGAGACACTGCTAAGCAAGAAATATTTATATTCAAACAACACAAAATACTCTAAAATTGTATTGATTTCGAGTTCAAACTAGTACTCTCTCTTTTTAGAAGCGAGGGGGAATACAAATAAAAGAAAGATACTGGAAACCCAAATTTCAATTTGCTATCTAGACTCAAATTACAATTTGCCATCGGAAACTTACACTGAAATTTAGGGCATTATAGTAAGAAAAGAAAAATGTTATATTTGACTATAATAATTAGTGGTGATAAGAATGCATGCAGATGTGAATTGTTCGTAAGATTTGGCCAATTTTGGAATATAAAAGAAATGTCAAATACATATAAATTCCATTTGGTTTCTAGACCTTCATGCATAAATTTAAATTCTGTTTGCATATCAGTCAAATTAGCAGACATTAATTGATAAAATACTGACAATTCTTTAAAACGCGGTCAGTACATTTCCTTTCCAGAAAACTGCCACAGTGTATACATGATGTACTGTCCAGCTTCAATCAAGGATCAAAATATTTTTAGCAAACTGGTTTCGCTATCTTTGGAGACTTATTACTAATATTTAACTAAAATTTATTAACTTAATTACTGTGTTGGAAGAAATAGGCTAAGCATTTGAGATTAGATAATGCTAAATCATCTTAAAGAAACGCAATTGAAAGCTCAAAGAATTCTGTAAATCATGAGATAAATATAAATAGAATATTCACTGTTTTAGAAAATACTACAAACATTACTTTATTGGATTCCACTCCTTTGTCAGTGACTTGCCAATCTCAGAAATGAAAAAGATAAATATGTCAATTTTGCTTCATGAGTGGCTTACCAGTCTTGAAGTGCCTCAAATCTCTAACTCCAGTTTAAGTCACAATAAAACATCACATAACCAATTATTTATAGTATGTTATATCTAGAGAATAACACTAGATATGAATTAGATTAATTCTATATAGATGTTTCACACAGTATAAATCTTTACCATGTTACAAATATTACACAAGATATAAATGAACATTTGGGACACAGCACTAGTTTTTTGCTTATCAAGAAACTTATTATAAATAATTTTCATGGCAAAGGATGAACTGGCTATATTTATAGCATGTTAGGCTGCTCAAGAAATTTCAGAAGTTTCTTTTTTGGACATTTAACACCAGTTACTCTGGAAAATGAATGTTAAAGAAATCAACTCTAAATTAGTGATCAATTTGGATTTCAAGCTCGAAGAACATTTCATAGAAAATGAGCGCAACTCATGAGTGATTAAGAGTAGTAATAAATAAATTGAAAACATTTAAATAATTCTACCAAAATTTCCAAGTATCTTGAATGGTTACCTTCACATATCTTCTACCATCATTACATCAATTGCATCTGCAACAGTTAATATTTCTGTATTTGATTACCCCAATTTATTTACCTGTTTGATGCCTTTGCCTGAGAGAGCAGTGACCAACTGAGGCTCACGGATAACAGCTGTGTGACCAAGCCCCAGCTGTCCATCACAGTTATTTCCCCATCCCCAAACATCACCAGAAGATGTTAGTGCCAAGGCATGTTCAGCCCCCACAGCCACTTCCTCTACAAAACATGAGCTCAGAGCTGGAACCTGCAATAACAATGAAACAAAGGAAGTTGTTTCAAAATTCGTAATCATATTATACAGTAAAACAAACACCATTCTTCTTACAATTAAAAATAGCTATCGCTCTTGTAGAAATATATTCACCTTATTTATCGAATATTGTTTGAATTACATATATTAATACAAGTGCTAACATAAATCAGACTTTTAAATCAACTACGTCAATTATAAACTGTTTGATGACAATATTTCTTCACTAATTTTCTACCCTTTCAATTCTGATCAGGGCAAAAATACAGTTGTAGCTTTCCTTAAAAATTGAATCAGTTTCTCAAGTAATGTGTCAAAGAAAAGCTCAGGTAGATGGAGTTTGCTGTGGAGTATGTTGTGTTCATAAATGATTCTCTTACCCCCAAAGCATGGCAATTAAACTACACCCAGGCATGGGGGACACTGTTAGCTAACTGAGCTACCTGTTATGTAACTTGAAGATTAAAAATTAAATTAACAATTAAAAATTTTATTATTCAATTTATTTAAGAGTGCAGTTGGATGTTATTCACTGATACAATTTAAAATTGTCTAAAATCTAAAAATGTATATTACTCTTATGTCACCACATAAAAGATAATATTTTTATTCTTTACAGTACTCCAGAGTATGAGAAGCTCCAGCTTTTGTAACCTTACATTGTTCAACTGCATATCTTACCTGTTGGGGTTTGGTGTGGCCACGGGCTCGAGACTCTGGTTGTCCTATGAGTCTATCCATACCACATGTAAACAAGCGTCCATTATGAGTAAGAAATACTGTGAATTGGGTTCCACAGCACACCCTTTTTATTCCTAATCCACACACAAGTTCCACTCTCTGAAAAAAGTAAAGGACAATATTCATTTTTCAGATAGAGCTTTTGGACTTTTTTAACACAATATTAAAAACATATTATTCTTATTGAACTTCAAGAGAGAAAGAGGGGGAGGGGAGATACTTTTGAACTGATTTTATCATGGGATATGTTGTGATTTGCATGAAAATAAAAGTTCACTTAATTTTTGCCCAAGATTAACATGTTTGCTTTTATTGAGTTTATTGAGATTAGGTTTGAAATGGACCTCATTAAGATATTTTTACAGTTTGATTATTATATCAAAATCTGAGCTTGCAACATAAAAAAACATTCTGGAAAGAGCATGATAACCTCCTCTCTCAAAATATTCTAAGGAACTAAGAGAACCTACAATAGACGGAAATTAAAACATATCTATTTAGCACCAGACTTCAACATTTCCAAATGTATAACAGGAGCATTAAAAATAGAATGAAAGTGTCATTTACAACACTTAGGAGAATATTTTTTAATGGTTTTAATACAGGGATTAGCTCTCCTGCTTGTGAGACAGGGTGAACTTGCACAAGAATAAGAAATAAAAGGGATCCTAAGAGGAAAAGAGAATTAAAGACACAAATGAGAGAGCATGAGCTGCCCGCAAAGCATTTTATGACCTGTCAAAACAAATTTCTGAACATTCTATCTAATGTGCTTTCCTTTGACCTCAGACAAGTACAACCTATCCCCAAACCACTCATTTCACAAACTTCTTACACTTGTTAAATTCATTTTTAAACTCACTGGTGTATTGATATGAGATCCCAGAACCCAGTATTTTATACATGGACTGAAGATCAAGCTGGTCATGGTGCGACAGAAGTTGCATCCACTTTGCCAAACTATCTCCATTCTCAGAATCTACTCAATATGATCTTTATTGGACTTTTTGGTATTGCTTCTGTAGTCAAAATAAAGATAGTGACATTAACCATATGCCAATGGAGTGATTAAAACAGGTCTTCTCAATGCATTGAGAGAATATTTTTAGTTTTTCCAGGAAAGGGACACGTTTCTAAGCAGAAATCTGTGAGAAGAAAGAGAATGATGGTGGCTCTAATGACAAGTAACACAAACTGGTAAAGTGAAGTCTTTGGAGAAAGAGTGGAAATTATTTGATGTAAAAGAACTTTCACAGAAATGTTACAAAGCACACAGCGTTAGTGGGAGTAAGAGAATTTCTGTTTTTCTATTTCAAAATTTGGAAGTAAGAAAGAGGTGTGAAAGTTCAAACAATGTCATGTCATAAAATGGATATGGAAATTCATGTGAATGAACCAAAATGAGATTCCGTTGCAATTAAAATGATATGGCTTTTGAGAAATTACTACTATACCTAATGACATTTTAAATGAGAATTTTTACTTTATTATAAGACTTTAACAAGTTGTTAAAAACACTATTTGCTGGTGCATAATATTTGGTGAATTGGTATGGTCCCATTTTGAAAAAAAGGAGGCCAAGGAAACAAAGATGTCACATGTCATGTGCTTCTGCTTTTGAAGCCAATAGATTCTTGGCTGTCTGAGAGACATCACAACCAAGGCTCAGTTGCTAACATATGAGGAAGGTATGAAGTAATAGGTCGGCTGAAACATTGGCAATTGTACCTTGGATGTGGTGCAATTTCTAGGCATTTCTGTGACTTATTTGAATAATTTAAAAATATCTCACAGTATATGAATTTGCTCTGTGGATTTTTGGAATTTTTTTCACTTTGTTGTGTGTGTGCACATTTTATTCACAGCACTGTAGGGTCTACTTATTTGTTGAATTTCTCAGAGAAGGTGAATTTATGACGTAAGTGTTTACAGTAGAGAGCAAACACTTATTTATCACAAAATATATATTTATGTAAAACCTTGGGAGGTATAAGCTTGAGAAACGTTTTGTTGCCATTTTACTACAATGGACATATAAAGCACACTTTCCCTACAAATGGTGGTTCATTCACATCTATTGCAATAGCGTTTACTTAGTGATATAAATCTAATTTATTTATATATTTGCAAAATTCGTGAACAGGCAGGACACTCCTGATAAGGTTTATGTTAAAATGATAAACATGAAAAAGAAAAACAACTCTTGTCATTGTAAAAATTGTCCAGGTAACTTTACAAGGAATACATTTTTAAAAAGTGTGTGTGTGTGTGTAAATATTACAAACACAAAGAACTGCTTTTATAATTGACAGCTACTTTTACAGCAGTTAATTCTCATGTAATATAATGTATTAAGTTCTCTATGTGCCCACTGTAGCCATATGACATTTCATAAAAAAGCTAATGCGAAGAAAATGTTAGAAATTAGTTTCTGTCTTAAGATGTTCTCCTTTATCAATTTTAGTCCTTAAATATTTGGTTCTTCAGTAAAAATTATTTGGGATTGAAAGGGTTAGTAATTAAAGGCATAAAAAGGAGAATTTAATGAAATTTTAAAACCTTGTAGGGAATGATTATCTGATTAAGAAAAATAATTCATGGAGCAAACTTGTACAGAATTTTATGACCTTTAAAATTGTATGTAACCATAATTGCACTGAGATTCGCCATTAAAAAAATATTACGCAAAAACAAAAAATGCCAGACAATTTAGTGGGGTTTGGCCTATCAAAACTTTTTCCAAAGTATTTTGATGTAGAAAACTTAAGGCTTTCTTACTAATATAACAAAATAAAAAATAAAACCTTCTACTTCACCTTTTGCAAGGTGGACTCACTTATAGCTTCCGACCAACTGCATGTACGCCTTTTCAAAAGTTAGATTTATATTCTATTTGTTTTCTCAAAAGAAGTGGATGGGTACAGCAAGTACTCTATTATATGATTTATCATAGGATAAACGTATACCTGGGGAGTTCGCTGTGTTGTTGTATTTCCTAGGCCCAGTTTACCATAATCTCCATCTCCAAAAGACCATACTGTGCTTCCGTCACTAGATACACACACTGTATGATTGAGTCCACACGCCACCTGTCCTACACTGTAACCTTCCAATGCAGCCACTCGTTCAGGCAACTTTTTGTTAGCCATACATCCAAGTCCAAGGCGTCCATAATCACCATTTCCAAATGTAAAGAGCTTCCCATCTGCAGTAACAACAGCACTATGTTTGAAGCCACAAGCCACTTGCACTACTTCTTCGTTTTGAAGAGCTTCTATTTGACGAGGCCGTCGCTGACGGTCACTATTTCCGTGGCCTAGCTTTCCATAATCACCATCCCCCCATGAAAAAACTTCTCCACTTTCAGCCAAAGCTAAGCTGTGTCCATCAGATCCACAAGATGTAGCAAGAGCAACTATCACAAAGCCTGAAACAAACCCTTATTTATATTTTCCTCTGCCAATGTAAGACATTTCTTTTTTAATAAAAATAATTTACAAAATAAAAATTTCCCTAGTCAAAAATGGATGGCATAATGCATCAAAGAGCCAAGCAATATTGCAGAAAAATACATTTAAAGTTAAGGGCTCATATGTATTCTTCTGGAACGCTACTCAAAATTACTTAGAAATTAAATGCTAATATAAAAGAAATATGTCTGATATGTTATGGAAGTCAGTTAAGCCAATGAGAGTGTTGCTTTTTTAATTGACACTTAGCCTGCTGATGCATAATGCAGTCCAAATACAGTTGTGAATTCTAAGAACAGAAGGAACTTCATTCAAATATACTTCTGTTTCAAATAAATATACAACTTGTCAATTAGTATTTTATGTTTCACTTATATTAAGCATCATAAATACCTTGTAATGAAGAAATAATGTTAAGTGAATGAAGATCATCAGAATTTCCTTGTCCTAGGCGTCCATAACTACCTTCACCACATGCCAAAACAGTACCATTAGCCTGAATGACAAAAGTGCAATTCTGACCACAGACAATTTGTTGAGCTCCAGAGAAAGAGTCAGTTACAGCTGGGACAAGTGAACTTCTTCCTGCAAAATGTTCATTACCTGAGTACCATTTATGTTTTGGAAGGATAAAACCAATTTTATTTTTAGAAAGTTCTCATTTAGTGAAGCAACAATGCCTTACAGTGAAACCTGAAACTTCTCCCAAGGAAGAACTCTCCAAATTATCGAAAATTGCAAATTTAGGACTAATGTGAGGAAGTATGTACTGTTGTAACGTCACTAGTTTCAATAGTCATGGATTCACTTGCCATGATTGTATTTAAATATATTATTTTGAAGAGCAGGTTTCATGATAAAGTCATCATCTTCAAAAATATAGTCATAGGAATGTAAAAGAATTTAATTATTTTTGTAATTTTCAAAAAGTCTGACATGTGTCATTTTTACATCATACTTTCCTCTATTCAAGCAACAATTTGAAGAATATTTTGAGCAAGTTTCAAAAATGTAATAGGAGCATGATAAATAGTAGTCATGAATGTCATAGGAGGTACCTATAAAAATTAACGTATCTGTTTTAGCAGCATTACAAAACTTTCTCTATACTATGTGTGAAAGAAAGTTAAATTGAAGTGCAATAACAGTTTCCTCACCAGCCTCCCCCAACTGGCCATGACGTCCACTTCCCCACAAGAAAGCCTGGCACTTTCCTCCCATCTGCCAGTCATGTGGCTGCTGTGTGGACCATGCCATTATTTGCTCATCTGCTTTCAGACTCCATGCTGTATTATTGGTAACGGCAGGTTCCTCCTCTTCTTCTATACAGTGAATTAACTTAGTCATAGTGAGGTAAGAAAATTTAACTATAGCAAACTTTGCAACAAATGTTTTTCAATTTCATAATAAGCTTTGATCAATTCATGACCCAATTGATATACTGTTTTTCTATTAAAAGAATTTGTGAATACACAATTATGAAGCGGTCTTATCCTGACTGAATGCCATATCATGGGCAGTGAAGAAAACGGAAGGAAGTACAAGGATTTAGAAAAGTAAATATTAATGCTGTTAAATGCAACAAATTATTCTCTACAAGAGAGTATTCTTAATGCTTAATTCTAAGGAGCAATTCCTTTCACAAAAATTGGAATATATTTTTGCATGTCACTTTGAAACTATGTAACATATAAAGAGCACATTTGGCAAATTCGTGAATAAGCCAGTTAATGTTCATGATGGTTAGCAATATATATATATATATATA